CAAGAAGAGTGGGAATTTGTCTGATGAATTTTCGCCGACGTTATTCAGGAATTTTTTTTACCCATATTAAACTCGAATTTTACCAAAATTTGGGTACTAAACCACTTTTTATCACTTGTTTACTTTTACACGAATTTATTCGGCCAATACCCGATAAGGAATCTTCAATACACGTCCACCTGAGTTATCATCCTTTATAATGAGCCGTCCTCTTTACGTAACGAAAAAGAGGTCTTGATTTAGAGGAGCATTGATAACTTATTAAAGTGATTTAATGGAACAAATCATTATATCAGTTTTATTTTTCAAGGTAAGGGCATGTCGATAGTTACATTTGGAGACCCACTGGGGTGTCTTAAAATGTCCGATAAATTTAAATATTTCGGGAGCAACGAGCCACCTTGATGGTGCTTCATATTTTCAGGAAATTGATCGACCAGATCGCCATGAAAAATAAATTTGAAGAATGTCTGAGTTTAACCATGGATATTTCTCTCTGAGGCTTGTCTCATTTTGTGGTGGGCTTTAATGAGACGATTTAAAATGGCAGAGTGCCAGAAGTGCCTTCAACTCTTCATTTATTCTTCGAAGACATTTCTGAGGCGAAAGTATCTGCTCTAAAAGTCATGCTCAGCACATTTCGATTTCAAAACTGAAACACAGAAGATCCTAACATCCTCCGCTATTTGTGCTTGGTATCTTTGTTGCATACATGAAGAACTGATAGCGCTCTGTCATTTTGAATCCTCGCAGTAAAGCCCGCGATGCGGCGCGAGCCTGGTTTGTCAAAACGCCTTCAATTCTGTGCGTATGCAACACGGACATCCTTGGAGTTCTAATAGTTGCATTCAGGAGTTAGAATGAGTGTTCATCGCATTCGACACTAACAATAAGCGAGCGCTTTGCTTGTTTCTCATATGCGCTGTAACTTGATTTCTAGAGTTACTTATTGTGACGATCGAGTAAACTAATACTGATTTGTATAGCGCTATCGTCGATTTTCCGGATTATGCTTTGATTTTTTAAATATGTGACAACGTTGCAGTCCTAAATGTGGGCTGCGGATCCTATATTTTCTGTTATGAGAACAAATGCGGAAAAGCCGTTTCATGGTCAATTTAGGAAAAATTCAAGCGCCCGTTTCTTCCCAAGTTTTTCTTTATTTACGTATTAGTGTTTTTAAACAACCCTCAATATGCGTTCCTTGCTTCTTACCTAACGCTCGGTCCTAAACCAGAGGCGGACCCAGAAATTCGGCAATATCGGATTTTCTCCTCTTAAACATATGCTAAATAATCGATTCTTATCGGAGCACCTGGCCCTTCCAATCGACTTTTTCATAGGTTTAAATGGATAAAAGACAATGTTGCCGATTTGCTGCACCCGCCAGTGTCCTAAACTATTCCACGTAAGTCTTTTGGAAAAAATCCCGATATAGTTATCGATGGCCAGAGGTAAAACCGTGTATCTCGATTGGGGTGTTTTAAAATGTCCGCTCTTGCTACTTAATTTCTTCCAAGAGAAACGAGCTGAATTTATGGCTTAAAATGTATACAAAATGTTCTGCTAATTGAAAAGAAAAATCAAGAGAGTTTTTAAGAAATCATGTTGTCCAGCTTTCCGAAGAAAAAATAAAATATGACAGAAAGTCTATGCAACGTCGCAAACAAAGATACGCAGTTCCGCACTTTGACCATCGATACACATGAACCCATCCAATTTTCCGTCCGTAAAAGGCTTCAAATGCACTTCTGGAGGAGAGTTGCAAACAAACTGCGGGCGGTGATTTGCAAATGACAGTCATGATTTACCGCCGTACTTACTGCCGTGGTAAGGAAAACCGCCGTATGAGCCTTCAGGCGTTGCCAAATTTACCCTGGAAAATCACTAATTTTCAGGAAAATTTTTGAATATTTTTCTGCCAATTTTAGGTAATTTTCTTTGTAATTTGATCTAAATTGTCTGAAAATTTCAAGGAAAAATATTCACAATGTCCTTAAAAAATAAACATTTTAACGAAAGAAATTTGCGGCAACTCTCGAATGTTCATACGGCGTTCTTCCTTAGCACGGCCAATACAGTCTCATAAGTAACAACATGAAGACCACAAGATGACGCAAACAACATTTTCAAAAATATCATCGCATTTAATTGTTCGCGCAGGTGGGAATGTCTCAACGGCTTGAGGATCTGAACAAGCCCAGTCTATGAGCCGATCTCTCGGGCCAGGGTCACGGTCGATAAAACACATCATCGTAAAATCTGTGGAAGCCGTGCTTTAATGTTTCACGAGGTATTTTTTTAACGGTTTTGCGGCACGCTTTGTTGCGCCTTGTGCGCTAGAGTGTTAACCCCGAAAATGCCTCTGTGCAACCTACATCTGAATCTTTGAAGTTTCATTTCATCGATGTGTATGAGTTTAATCGTTACTTGCATAGCAATGAGTACCTAAAAACAGCTCTGGTGCATGGCAAAATAGTTGGTTTCGTGGTACAAAGCGCAAAATGTCCTTTATTGCTACTCGGAACCGTATCCAACATCATGCACAAAGGGGTTTTTGCCTTCATTTCAGCAGGATAGGTAAAAACACCTTTCATGTGTCAAAATAGTAGCCCAACCGTTCAAAATGAAGGCGAATCACGCCTTGTTGCTCACGCTGAACCACATCCGACGCGACGACGCGACGGCTCAAAGTGTTTCCGCCTTCATTTCGAGTGAATAGGCAAAACAGCTCTTCTGCGTTAGAATAGTTACCTAACCGTTCGAAATGAAGGCGTGCCAGGAGGTTGCTCGTTCTGAAGTTCTGAAAAGCATTCATCCTCCTCACTTTGAAGTTTCGGAAAAACAATGACTCGAGGCAGTAACCTAGCCATACAAAATGAACTTGCGGAAATGCTGTTCTAAATGAAATTACATCAAGACGAATAATATGCCACTCAGAGCCTTAGCTCACCTTATTTAAGGGGACTCGGCAAAATCAGACCGGACAGAAAGATTAAAAAATACTATAATTGTCGGATTTTCAGCGATTTCCCCCGATTTTTTACATGCTTTTGGGGCGATACAAACTACTATTTAGAAGAAAAACTACAACAACGAATTCACGCCAATAATCGGAATATACCAGAAAAGAGTTTCTGAAAAGTGCATCCTAATTTTTGAGTGCTTACCGAGTCACCCAAAAAAGCTGGCAAAAATTGCTGAAAAGTCGATACACATCGTGTTTTTCGGTCGTGTTTATCGTTCCTCCCAGGAGCTTCCTAAAAACAGGGATCCGGCAAAGTTCAACCGCGATGGAATCGACAAAAGCAGTTTCAAATGTGTGAATTTTTGACACGCAGTGTAGATAGGGCATCCGGGAAAATGTTTTATTCGAAGAATGCGTTGACACACATCAGCAGGGCCGGATTAAGGGTATGGCCACGAGGGCCGCGGCTCATGGCGGCAAATCTAGGGGGCGGCAAATTTTGCAATTTTTTTAAATGTAGGTATAAAAAAAATCGAATTTAGAAAAAAAAATCATAAACGAGAAAAGGCAACAAAATCTCTCATCTCCTGAGAATATAGTAATTTCTAATTTTGTCGTCTTTCAGTAATACAAAAGACAGCACCTTTAATTAGTCGAGTTAAGAGAGAAACCAAACACGCAATTTGGCCTAGAACGGCGCGACTTAAAGAGGTATGATGACGAGGACTTGAGATGAAAAGGAGAAGCCCTCGGCGCGGCGGTCGGCATGTAACACATAGTAGCGCCTACAAGACTGCAAGAATACTTCACGCATTGCATCAAACACAGTGCGGTCACTGCAGTCAGCGTGAAACGGATAGCGCCTACAAGAATGCATGAATACTTCACGCATTGCGCCAAAGACAGTGCGGTCAACGTGAAACGCTTAGCGCCTACAAGACTGCCGGAATACTTCACGCATTGCGCCAAACACAAAGCAGTCTGCGCGACGCGGCGGCGCGGCGGAAGTTAAAATCATTGAACTACATTTATGTTTGTTCTTTCATAATTTTTTCGTTAATTTCTTAAGAATGGAGGGCCTCGTCCACATGCACAGAGATAGGTTTACGGAACTTAACTTTCGCGCAAAGTTCCGTGAACTTTTGCTAGTAGTGTTGACAGGGTTTTCCCAAAAAATGTGTCCAACACAAGTAAACGCGTCTTCTGCATCCTTCCCCCGCTGGCACGTTCACTTGATGGTTTTTATTGATGTTTCAAAACGAATGAGAAGGGGCGGCAAAATACAGGTGGCCCATGGGCGGCAAGTAGGTAGATCCTGCCCTGCACATCAGTATGATGCCAAGGCGCAACTTTTCCTTCCTATACCTCCTGGCCGGTCTCAAGTGGTGTTTTGATTGTAGCGCTGGCCCTGTGACCATGGTCCCGGGTTCGATTTCCGTCCAGAAAACCTGAGTTTGATGGTCTCAGGGTCACCTGGGGCTGGGGTAGTAGGCAAGTAAGCGTGGGATTAGCCAATCGGATATTTAATACTTTTAAAAAAAAAATCTTGAAATTCAAAAGACGACGTTTTTTGTCTTGTCCTGGGCCTGGGATCACCAGACTCCTCTCGACAGAGGACCTTTCCCCCAAACTCCCGATTGATTTTTTCAAAGTTTCGGCCCACCCTCGGCCACTGTCTTTTTTTCCAAACTTACTTTTTTTTTGACTGCGGGCAAGAGGAGCGGTGCGGAAAGTGCTCACAATCAGCCGAAGACGTAATGCGCTCCTGAAAGTTGCGCGCAGATGAGGGCGTAACTGCGTAAGTTACAGTCTCGCACCCGTGTCTGTTAGAGCGTCCAATAAACGTATTTCGGCGAATTTTTTCTACCTGACAATGAGAAGCGCATGACTCGTATGTAATAATGCAGGTAATGTAATCACTGCCGACGGCTGGGCTGGGCGTTCGTCAGAGCATCTCGCGGGGGGGAGGGAGGGTTGGGGGGGAGCACATGTGCGCTAGTGTTTTGTCTGGCCGCGCTCACACAGCGCGCTCTTGGCGCACTCGCGAGCCGTGCGTCGAAAAGTAAACAACACGGCCGCGGTGAGGTTATGGTTCCGTTGATAATATCTTAATTTCCCAGTCCTTTATTCCGGCGAGTGTTTTATCAAATGCCTTTGTCTCTTTTCCTCTGATAACGGGCTCTTTGTGAACTGAACCCCGGTGGTGTTTTCAACGATTTTTTATTCGGTTGGCGGCCAGTGTTTTGAACGAGTCCGTGGTGCGCGTTTCTGTCTCGACGAATACGAGCCGCGTCCGAAGTGAAAGTGATTACTTCCTGCGTTTCCTGAATACCTGTATTAAGCAAGCGATGATATAATACAAGGTGAGGGACCATTGAACCATTGTCCATCTAATGTCTTCGATTCGACACTCGCTGTCGAATCTATTTTCACTGTTTGGTCGGGCTGTTGCCTTGGTTTCGGCTTGTTTACCTTTTTATCGACGAATTAATGAGTCATATTTTTTCATATCATACTCGCTGATCTCCTCAATTTATGAAATTTATGAGGAGTAAAGATCGGGAACTGTCTGCAGTGGTAGGAAAAATTGTCAAGCTTGATCATCTTGATCACTTAGTGCGATCACCTTTGAAGTATGGCCCAGAATGCTCGCACACGATTCTGGTTCTCGCATATAAAGTACTATCAGTAATTGTCATTCAATATATCAATGGTGAAACCACCAGACCACGTATTTCGGTTTGCGACGATTTAGACTTCCTGTCATACTTTATTTTTTAATTGAAAAACTACGCAACGTCAAGTTTTGATAACTTTTGTGATTTCTCCTCTCTGGGAAGAAAACTGTGAAAATTTCAAGTTTTAATGTTGATTTGTTTTCCCTCAAAAAAATAAAATGAGAGCAGAGATTTTTAAACACCGCTAACAAGATATGCGGACAGGTAGTTTCACCGTCGAACATCTTTAATGAGTTAGAGGGAAGGGAAATTGAGTTTAATTGACGAGAACCTCTGCTAATGTTGAAGCAAATACTGACGTATCCAGTTCGTCAGATGAACATCTTTTTTTTAAATTTTATTTTAAGAAGAATGCGCGTTTGTTGCTTAACATGATACAGTACTTAATTTATTCCTTTAAAGCCGAATCTTGTATGGAACTTTTTCCAGTAGTTACTTCTTTTTTTATTTCAAAATAGTTTTACTGGCTTTGTCATGTGAGGGTTGTAGAGAGCTTGCCGCGTGAGTTTTGATCATTGTATCTTGAGACACGCAATTTTCTGATCAGTGCCACTCAGTTAGTTAACACATGCATCCAAATGGCTTGATTGTTGAGTGTTGAAGCAAACAACATACGATGAATCATACAAAGTACAATCAACATACAATGGTCTCTAACAACTTTAAGTACTTTGACCAAGTGAGCGATCAAGGCTTTAGAGCAGCACCTAAATATTGTTCCCAGACACTAATCTGAGTAAGGACTCCAAAGAAAAGAAAGTTCGATGCGTGTAAAAGTAGATTGTTTCATGTTAATCGTAGCAATACTGCATTCGTTTTTTTATTTTTTAAATTTTACAATTGCAAAAGAAGTACGCTTTGTATACCTAGCATACAAATATTTTCAACAACGGGATGTGAATTTCAACTCCGTGTAATATTTTAAGAGACAGGTAATTTTTATTCACATACTTAATTGGCTTCTGAAAGTTACTTACTTATCAAGGTCTCAACATTGAGAATTATTTGTATCCAATAATTTTTTTTTTTCCCCATCTCCTTTTTTAAAAAAAATTCATAGCAAATAAGATGCATACCAGTGGTGAAACTGCAAGAATTTATATCTTGTTTGTGGTGTTTCAAAATCTCCGCTCCCATTTGATTCTATCAAAGTAGAGCAAACTAACACGTTCGCTTAAAATTTCCGCAGCATATTCCATACATTGAAAAGAAAAATCTGAGAAGTTTTAAAATAAAGGGTGCTGAGTATTTTCCATCAAAAAATAAAGTTTCGTGAGATGTCTACAATGTCACGAACTGAGGCACATGTTACTGCTGTTGACTGCTCAAAAATACACTGTCACCGTGTTTTGTCCGCTTTGCTTTAACAAGGCTCACTTATCAAAGACTTTTTGCAGTAAGGAGGTAAATTCATTTGGAATACCTGTCATCATGGGTGAACAAGTTGGAAACATCTTTGAAGAATTTGAGGTACGAGAAGAACTTGTTTTAGGATGTACTGATGTACTGAGCGGAAATATTGAACACAGGATATCGTGTGTTAGCCTCGATTCTTGAGTTTTCTCGATGTGAATTTCAGAAATTTGTTTCATCTTTTCGTCAAATAAATAGCAACTAATTACTTGACATGGTGGATAACCTTGTCTTAGTTAACTTGTAATTCCCATCTGGCAGAGCTAGTACTAAGTACTCAGGTGTGTGACAAAGTTAAGTATACCATTCAGATGAGACTTGAATATGAATGAAGAAGGAAAGAGAACAATACTCAACTGTTTTTTATTCAGCCCAGCAAGTAAACTTCTTAGCAGTAATGACATTAACAATATATAAGAAAGGATGTATTTTTAATGACACCCCCCCCCCCCCCCCGAAAGAAATCTGACGTATCTCCCTCTTGAAAATAAGTATTACAAATGCTATTTGATGAAAATGTCAGATTATATTTTCTACTAACTTTTGAGGTAGGTAATAAAAATTAGGTGTACAAAATTTTGCAAAAGGAGGAAGGTGGATTTCTGTTATTCGAATAAAATGGGTCAAGATCACCGTAAAAATTTGTGTTTTCATATCTCCACCATCGTGAATTTGGGGTCAAGTATGATAATTGAGTGAGGCCCGTCAGCTATGGTCTAAATATTGAGCAGAGCTCCCGCTTCATGTCAGCCAAACATGTTTTCCCTCATTTCCATCCAACTGTTGCATTTCATGCGTTTATCCGTCATGCGGAGTAGAGATCAAAAGTTTAATAGGAAGAAGAGGTTAAACAGACAGATAAACTCACTTCTAAATACCTACAGCTAATTAAAAAACGGCTTATCTCTCTTGAAAGTTTTCATCTTGTTTCTTACTCTCTCCAGGAGATAGTTCCTGGCAAATTCCAGAAAAATAGTTTTTCTGAACTTTTCTTGGTCGGGAAAGTTTTTCAAATTTTAGGAATTGCCAGCCAAAGAAAGGGAGAAAAATGGATCGGGTTTAGACGCAACTATCTCACTCCTCTGCTTTAAGTCACTGCTCATTATTTTGACAATTTTTATTTTCGTAGCGTAATAAATGAATTACTTAAATAATAAGCGACATTTTTACCTCAGCATGAGGTATGGTTGTCATCGAAATGACTTTTAACACTTATCGAGTCCCAATACTCAGTGTGTTTGAAATTTTTAAGTCGAACCAAGTAATAGACGATTCCGGTAAAGAAGAATGCGGGCATGCCAAATATAATTTGATAGTAGGAATTCCTCTTAGCTAGCAAGCTCAGTAAGTTTTGTTTTGTTTTTGTCAACCTGCACACGTGTTCATATTGCCGCAAAGACAAAACCGATTCTTTTCGTATGATTCAGCGTGTTTTTCAGCTCATTCCAACTAACGATAATACTAACTACACGCAGATGGTATTTACGTCGTGTCCGTTGTTCGCAATGGTTGTTGCATCAATTTTCAATTTTACGAGCTTTAATTGAACTGAGGATTAGTGGACCCATTGCAAATTCGCACGGGAAAAAACATTTTTTGGCTCCTAGTCCAGACTCATTGAAAATTCGACTAGAAAACCATACTCTTGATTCACGTGGATTTTTGCTGAGATCGAGAGCCAAGCCTTTTAATTTAAGCGGATTTTCTTTCGATTCAAGCAAAAATCCGATTGAATCATGAGGATTTTTTCTTGTCAATTTTTTTTTCAAGAGTTTGGACTAGAGACTTTTTCTCAAGTGCGGAAAAATTTGGAAGAATACACCTACTTACCATTCACAAGGAAATTGTTTTAACGGAAAGTTGAGAAATGCAGTCATCGATTTCTGTATCAGACGCGAGGTTTTTTCCCAAACAGGATTCTGCTCTCATTTTCGTACATTTTGCTAATTTTGGTTTAGAATGATTCTTTGGGCTCATGCGCAAGGGCTACCGTCCTTCTTTGACTAAAAATTCAAAATCTGCTGAGATCTTTTACCTAATCGATGCGATATAATCGTGTGTTAGTTCGACTATGTCACTTATTGAGCTTGAGGAATCACCTTAATTTTCTCAGATTATTCTCTGGGGACGGAAATATTCACTTACATTACCGAGCGCGAGCACCTCTTTTAGGGCTGCCACAGTCAGGGAAAACCGGGAAATGTCAGGGAATTTTAAAGAGTCAGGGGAAACCTGGATATGTCAGGGAAAAAGATGAAAATGTAAGGGAAATTTTGTCAAGTTATCTTTATTTGCTTTCCAGAACGAGTTTGACGTTTTGAACAACAAATGTTGCCTGAAAACCATTTCTAATTATGTATTTTCGATCATCTGGCATACCCTTTATTGTCAGGAAAATGGAGTCCGCGAATGGAGCGGAGATCAGAAATGGAAATCGGCGCCTTTAACGCGTTGACATTAATTTTTATGATCTATAAAGTTCGGCCGATTCCTACACTCCTTCCTATGAAGGCGTGGTATTGCAGTCGTAGGAAAACTTTTCGGTCGAGGTGACCTCCAAGTGCAGCGTTCTCCCAGGAAAGTACAGACAGACATTTAGGACTGGAAGCTTATTCGGTGTGAACCCGTACTGGAAGTGTGAAACTTTGTTTGTTTTACCAAGCGCCGCGCCGCGCCGGCCGGGCGTTGATATTGACGACCATAAACGTCAGTGCCCGATATAGGTTTATCTTTCGCAACTTCATAATCTAACACGCTTGATCACTGCTGATAACCTTAAAGCTTCGAGCTACGGGAAAATCGTTTTTTAATCGATGACTCCTTTTCGGAAGTTCCGTCCATGCGTCGTGATCAGGCTTTCATTAATTGATGTTATTTCCGAAGTTTGAAGTATCGTAGATTCTCTAAAGCCCAATTTACAATATCAAACTTTTTATCCGACATAATCGAACGAAAAGTTGGATGGAAAGTTGCGAACGCAAATAATTTGATTCAGTTACTCTCCGTTAACTTTCCATTAAATATTGGCGCCGCCAATTGGATGGAAAGTTGAACGAAAAGTTGAATGTAACGTAAGTTGAATGAGTGTTGTAGTTGATGTATTCAAATTTCCGTTCAATTTTTCATCAAATTGTCGTTTTCTTTCGTCAGTATCACACTATCCAACTTTTCATTACAACAAGTTGCATTCAAGAGTCGAATGAAAAGTTTGA